GAGTGTGTTTGTCTTTTATCTCTTTGTCCTGCTAAGTTCAAATTTAGGTGTTCTATGCAGTTAAATTTCCAGGGGTTCTTTACTTTAAAATGGGTCTTTATTAATATATTTACAACAAACTACAGGCAAATCCAAAACTATGGGCAGAATAAGTGTGAAAAAGGATGGAAAGAATAGAGAGAAGAAAATGAAATTTTTCTAGTTCATAACACTTAACACAAATAGGGAAAAAAGTATATTCAAATGTAGATTTTCTTTTCTGATACTAAGGACTGAACCCCTTTGCACTGTTATATCACCAGGCTTTTCTTTGTCTGCCTGCCCGCCCATCCATCCACCCATCCACCCATCCACCCATCCACCCATCCATCCATACATCCATCCGCAGGGTCACCTTAAGATGAAAATTTCCCTAGGCACATATGAGATTACTCTTTTGATATGTGATCATCAAAAAGATTGGAGAAATGAATTGGAATCAAGTATTCCCAAAATCATATAAATAGAAACCAAAGCAACAAAGAGACCAAAATTAATTTTTAGAAAAGGCAGTATTAAGAAAACACAAAGGGGAAGAAAAAAGATTCAGAGAAGCCTAATCCTAAGTGGAGACAATAAAATATATCCTTGGAGGTGAGATGGGTGAGAAATACAATAGAATCCAAAGGAAAAGAGCACAAAAGGCAAAATAGAATAAAACCCTGCAATGATTATTTTATCCTTTATATTTGTCTGTCAGTTGTTTTATTGCCACTGATGCTTTGAAGGCATCCTTCAAGATTTGCAATAAACAAACAACAAGGATTCCTGTAAGCATTTCTCCTTTGAGTGTTTGGTTAAGTTTTCTTGGTAGACAGTACAGAAGGGAAACTGTAGAAGGGGCTCTCCTATCACTTCAGACATAGGTTGGGGGTTTGCCATAGCAAAGGTGAGAGTACCTGGTGAAACTGACACCAGCCATGGACCCAGAACATAGCTCTGTGACTGCACCAGTATGATGTGGTGGTATCTTTCTGCAGACTTGACCTTGTATCCAGGTTCCCATACAAACTCTGAAAGCCGTCTGCTGCCATAGATTCTTATATTCCCAGTGCATGCCACAGGTTACCAGTTTTCTCCCTCACCTGCCTAGACTCCAGAACATGGTCTTGCACGAAGCAGCTCCAAATCATTTCCGTATTGGCCACTGAACTTCTCTACTGTCGGTGGGCTGAGCACCGTCCTACCTTCAGAGTTCTCAACAGTACCCAACTTTGTCCTTCCTTGGGTATTCTCCCTCAGTCATAGGATACCAACATGGATCCCTTCTATGTTATTCTTTACCAGATATGAAATTTCTTTCTATAAAACTTATCCTATTTAATCTGCTGTGATTTTCTCACTCTTGACTGGACCCATACTTCAAAGCTGCTTATTTTATGGCAGCTGGAAAGCAAGAGCATAGATAGGTTAAGAATGCCCTGGAAAGACATTGTCCAATAGCATACCCTCAGGGACCCAGCGTCTCCAAAATGGCCCACCTCCTATCATCACAGTTAGCTCTGAACATCGATGGATTAATTCACTGATAAATATAGTATGGTCATGATCCAGCCACATCTCTTAATCCAAATTGGCAATTACTACTAACAGGCACACCTGCATTCAAAACTTAGCTCTGTATAATTAAGAGACTAATAAATCTTTCTAAATTTTCACATCTTATCCATATAACATTATCTTCCTTTATAAAATTGTGAGAATTTACAAACAAAAACCATAAAAACATCATGCCTTGTGTATAGTATCCAGAAGACATTCATGTTATACCTCTTTCATTATCCTCAAGGCATTTTAGAAGAACTCCTGAACTGAAACATGAGAAATTAGATTTGAAAGTGAAAATGAAGAAAAATGGGTGGGAAGGGCAAGTTTTGGAACCAACAAGTGGCCACTCCAATTAAAAAAAAAAAAAAATAAATGAATCTATGGTAAGTTTTTTTATTAAGCTAATTCTCCCAAATCAAACTGTTATGATAAATTTATTTTCTGAATTCTCAGCTATAGACCAGTGCAATCTATTAAATTAATAAAAACAAAACTTTTCCCCTCCAAAGCTAAATGAAATGAAACCTTTTATCAAAGAAAAATTTAAAGGAAGACAACATAAAGAGACTTTCTGGTTACAGAGGTATGAGGTTCCAAGATTCCCCCACTGAGGAAGAAGGTGAAAGAGGAAACAGATAACTACTTCAGAACACTTGCACTCAAACAGTTGCAGACAAATACATTGAGAGCTGTGGTCTCCTTGCATGGGGGCTGCTCCTAAAGCATAACCTCACCACTCAGCTTGTCAGAAGTGGTAGTTTAATCAGTGTTAGACTGGGCAAGAAAATCAGCTGCTATATTCCCCAAGGAGAAGGACTTGATGCTGGGTGGAGGTGGGGAGAATAAAAACAAAAGCTGTGGCAGCTAGAAACAATAAACTCAGAGCAAAAGGGAAAATAGCAGACTAGTCAGAAATCAGTGTGATGATAAAAAATAATTCAGAGATACAAATAGTATGCATTTAAAAAACAGAAAAGCAAAAAATAAAATAAAATAAAATAAAAAATAAAAAAACAGAAAAGCGAGGGCCAGCCCAGCTCAGTGGATTAAACCCTATGGGCCAGGGTTCGATCCCTGGTATGATGTGCTGGCCCCGTCCCTGGGACCCACTGAGACTGCAACTGAGATTGGGTATGATGGCATGCACCTGTAATCCCAGCTCTTGGGAGGCTAAAACCAGGAGAATCACTACAAGTCTGATCTGTGTGGTGAGACCCTGTAGACCATGTCCTAAAATACAAAAAAAGAGACAGACAGACAGACAGACAGACAGACAGACAGACAGACAGAGAGAGAGGGAGAGAGAGAGAGAGAGAGAGAGAGAGAGAGAACGAACGCGGGGCCAGGTATGGTGGCACACGCCTGTAATCCCAGCACTCAGGATACTGAGGCAGGAACACTGCTGTGAGTTTGAGGTCAGCCTAGGCTACAAAGTGAGTTCAAGGCCAGTCTGAACTGCACAGTGAAACCCTGTCTCAAAAAGATCAGAAAAAAAAAAAAAAGAAAGTCACAAATAGAAATCCTATGACACAGAATAGTAAACCAATGCTAGACAAAATTAATTTTAAGACAAAGAGTATTTCTAGTGACAGAACTATATCACTACAATAAAAGATCAACACACCAATATAAAAAATTAAATGTTCAGAAAATTTTAAATGTATAGAAACCTATTATAGATTTTAAATACATAGAGTCCTATTACAGGAACAACTAAAAGACAATACATCTATGATTGGAGAACTCAGTGCCTCTCAGTAACAGAATTTGAAAGAAAAACAATGAGTAGTATATATGGAAGATTGGCATATCAGCTAACTTAAACTGACCATTAGAATATTCAATGGTCAGATACCAGAATACACATTAAGACACAGACAGACAGACAGACAGACACACACACACACACACACACACACACACACGGGCGCGCATATCAATTTGTTCTACACCAGTGATGGCAAACTTTTTTTGCTTTCAATGATAACCAACAATCCATTGTGGCACTTGTGCCACAGGTTTGCCACAACTTCGCTATAACTATCTACTATATGTAGCATGATCAAAACATACATAAAAATAGTGCTGCCCAAAGTCATTGGTGGAAAAGGGAGGTCTTCATTTTTTTTTTTTTTTCTTTTTTGTGGAACCGGAGATTGAACTCAGACCCTTGTGCTTACCAGGGAAGCACTTATTCTACTGAGCCATCTCCCAGGCCCGGCAAGTCTTCAATATAAAGAGATGTTTTTAACCTTAGCGACAGTCTGATAAGTTTTAACTTGTTTAAGTCTACAGTCAGTTGTTAGCTACAGCTAATTCACAAACATATTAATGTAAAATTTTGTTTCAAACTGTACAGAAGTGCTAAAGAAACACATGAAATGTTAAAATTAGTTTACATAGATGCTGCAGTGGCCATGAAAATGATTTATAAGTGGTTTGAGTAATTTCAGTAGGAGCTATTTTGTAATTGTGATATGGCTGAAAATGGGAGATTGAAATGGCCTTCAAGATAAAAGAAATCCAAGAAAATGTTGAAAGAATAAATGAAATGATTCAATCAAACAGACAAGTGACCATTATTGATGAAATCTCTTATGGGTTCAGGCAGGAAGATTAGTTGAGTTTAAAATTTCATCCATGAAGTTTTACTATTGTGTGGAGTCGCGTGATTGTGCTACTTCAGATTCTGGTTTTTAAAGAAACGTTA